AAACGTAAAACACGTATTTGTTGCGCTCAGGTCCACACGAGTCAGGTGGTATGTCGCACTAGACTCACGATTGGCGGATTTGGCCATCTCCTCCCAGTGCGAGTTCTTCTCCAGCTATAGGTTTGTGTTATGGACGGAAACGGAGATAATAGACGGTGGAAGAAGAAGAAAATCTGGTTCCCAAATTAAAACCCTCATGCATTCCCCTCTTTTAGTTATATTTTGGAGAAAATTACTTACCCTACGATCATATGGGTCTTTTATTTAATAAAAACGAGCCCTGAATAAAAATTTGCAATCTTAACAAAGGGAAGAAGATGGTATCCTATTTTTCACAATATTTTATTAAGTAGGAGGTTGAGGTGTTTATGGCGAGTGGAGGATTTAATGCTATTTTATAGGAAGACTAAAAGACTAAAGAAGTTCAAGATCAATTTCCAAAAAAAATCAAAACACCTTCCCCAAAAATCATCACTCTTCCGCAAAAAAATCAAAAACACCTTCCGCAAAAATTCACCAACATTACACAACACTTTCTCTCTCTCTCTCTCTCTCCCCTATCTCTTCTTTTCCCTCTTCTCTCTCCCTCTCTCTGTTCTTTTTTTTCAGATTTAACACCTGCTGTTGCTCGAAGGTTGTCGGCGAGGGACTGACAAGGGCCGATTGTGCTGATGCTTGTCTGAAATACAACCACTGCTCGCTGAAAAGGGGTGTCGGTGAGGAATCGCTGCTGCTCTGAGGTCTCCGACTGCTTCTAACTACGGTGGAACTCGACCGAAAAAGTCTGCCGCTGCTCGCGGATTCTTCTCGGACTGACGGGGAGTGACTGTTTCTCGAATGGCTGCCCGACGTTGGACGACGACAGTCCTGGTGTTGATCGAGAGTCGTCGGAAGGGGTTGGAGAATTCTCCTCTCTGGCAGGACGAACCGTTGTTCGGCTTGGTGTGCTTGATTCGTTGATAGCTATTTCAAGATATGAAAATTTATATGTTTCGGGTATGAAAATTATGTACATGATTTATATGTTATCAATAGGTATGAAAATTTACATGTTGCGGGTATATACAGTATGTACCAAAGTTGAACAATACACATATACATAACATATACATAAAATATACATTCTAGATTATCGTAATTCGAGTCAGCGACATATCGGGACACATATATATATATATAAAATATACTTTAGTTATACACTTGAGATTCAATCGTTTCTCAAAATCGATTTCAGAACCCACATATACATAAAATATACCCAAGATATACACTCGATCCCTGAACTGCGGATATCGTACAGAACCCATATATACATAAAATATACCTAAGATATACACTTCGGCCGGCCTGCGACCCGTAGTTTCGGATGAAGGTGAACAGATTCCATTTGATATGATTTACTTCATAATTATTAGGAAATATAGACTTTTCTATTTTTTTTTGCAGATTAATAAGTTAATGGCATGATTGTAGGGAATGTTTTAATTTGGTAACTGATCTTTGTTTACTCTACCCAAGAAATCTATTTTTTTAGGTATAGATGCAAATAAAAACACCCACCTAGTAACAATGAAATAATTTTGGTATCGTGTGGTTATCTTAAAATTTCGCCTATATTTTGTGCCATGCTGTTGGGCCGTGCTTTTTTTATTTATCTATTTTGGGATGCCTTTTGATTCTCTTTCGGGCCATTTGTTGGGCTGTCCCAATGATTCTATATATATTTGTTTGGGTAAAGTACATACATGTACGGCTGTCCCAATGGTTCTATATTTGTTTGGGTAAATAACACCCTAATTGGCCCTCTTATTTTCCAATCTCAAATAATTGAAATGGAGGCCCAATTTTAAGTCCATGCTAACAGCAGGCCTCACAGGTACAGGAATCGGGCAAAAAGGCGGCCGCGGTCATTGAGAAGAAAGTGAATTTCGAAAGGTTGTAAGTTTTGAAACTCCATGATTAGGGGATAAATTTCGAAAGGTTGTAAGTTGGTGAAGATGATGTTGGAGGGGCCGACGGTCCCAGCTCGACGCCGCCAACAGCTATATCATAGGTGAAGGAAGTGCAAAGTTGGAGCAATTTACAAGAACAGTAGGGAGAAGTACTGCAGCGAGCGTACATCGAAACTTTCAAACGAGCAGTATATGTTGAGTATATAGACAATATATGTTGAGTATATAGATAATATATGTGTTTCAACGTTTATTTCAGTTTATTAGAAGATTTTTTTTGTTCAATATTGTTTATGTTGTTTTTCGATATTTAGTATATAACCCGATTATGCACTTACATATTAAGTAATAATTCAGTTTTAATTTTGTGGAGCTTTCGAGCCGTCGACACACGAATAGTTTCGATTGGACCTGTTTTCTATGTATTTGAAGTATATTTGCAGGTTATGTTAGGTATTTTTTGCAGAATTTTTTTATGATGAAATTGATATGAATGACAAATGAGCAATTTTTTTTTTTTTTTAATTTTGTGATTATTGTTTATGTTGTTTTTCGATATTTAGTATATAACACGATTATGTACGTACATATATATTAAGTATATAGCACGATTATGTTGTGGTGTTTATATATTGTATATATTAATATTCAAAAAATGTTTAATAATATGTAGATTAACTATTTTAATTTTTTTTATTGATTAAGGTATGATTTTTACTTTTCTTTATATTTTTGTTACTTTTTCTTTGATCATATAACTTTCCGTGTGAATGTACGAATTAAAACTAGTCAACCCCAAAGATATAACTATTATTAATTTCATCTTGCCTTTGCAAATAGTATATGGAGTATTGAATTAGGCATAATTGTAATTTATGCATATATCAAGCTTCAAACTACGGTTGGCACACAGTTGACAAAGTTAATCATAGTTTAAATAAAAGTTAATTTTAGCCTATCTTTAACAGCAGTTTAGTGGGAATTTTTGACTACATAAACTATATTTTTTTTTTTTTGTACACAAAAGGAGGCTAGAGCCTAGAAATCATCTGATAAGTATGTTCCGTGGGTAAGCCATGCCAACAAGGTTGTGCTGTAACCACGATTGAACTACTGAAGGTGGGTCAAATAACCGTTGGTATCCACCAAGACAATGATGAGTCAGAGTCGCCAAGCAGTCAGCCGCAAAATTAGCTTCTCTACAACAATGAATCACCTTCACATCCCAGTCTCGGTGGAGCAAGTCTCGTATGGCACGAACCAAGCTACCATGCACTCCAAGGCTCTGCTCCTATAATAAAGCAGTACCCAATGTTCATCACAAACCCCCCAAACCAACTACCGTCGACATCGCGAATCAACCCTCCAGCAGACGCCATCCAGACGAAGTCAAATAAATGGTTGACTACTTAAGATGCATGCGGTGATAATTAGTACTAATGTATGGACAACGGTAAAAGCGAGACACAATCAACGCCTTTAATCTATTTAGCGGGGACGTTCAAACAAATTGCTTGACTTTGACCACTTTCATAGTCCACTCTTGCCACACACTCTCTTTTCGTTTTCAAATACTCCTAATTTCAACTTTTAATATTTTGGTGGTAGTCAGAGGTCAAGATCTCATATAATATGATTACTTATTGATCACAGTCAATATTCAGCATGCCATGCTGATATGATTAGTTAGATACTTAAGTAAACTCTTGCGAAAATTTCGATTATCACTATAATGACAAAGAAACGAACCCAATCTTATGCGTGCTGTCTTTCGTCTTAAAAAACATCGGGTAATAGTAACAGCTCTACCATGGGCTGAAAGTGAAACAAATTAAAAGCGCGGCCAGGTTAATAATGATTAGATCACTTTGTAGTTTGTAGTGGTATATAAATATATGGATGCTCCGGTGAGAACTATTCTCGGTGAATGAAATGAAAATAAATTTTAACCATAAAATATGATGATCC